AAAATTAAAATCTAAAATAAGATTAAAAATTTGCAGACATAGTAGAAAACAGATTGCAAATTTTTTCCTAATCATTGTTGGCTTCAGTGAATCCAAGAATCTTTGAGTCTGTATATTCTGAAAATAAATAAATATGAGAATTTACAACAGGCTGTAGTCAGTCAACTGAAAAATGCAAAGCTACAGTATACAATTCTATGCAAAGCGATATAGCTTATCCCAAACGAAAGCAGATAGAAATCAAAATACTCACCAAACACTGAAACTACACACTAGGATGAAAAAAAACCCAGAATTATTTCATAATCAATTGTGAGTTGTGACTTTTTTAATTCTGTTTTTCCCTAAGAAAATGGTTTTACCGACCTCTTCAGAAAATTTAGTTATGATCTAAAAAGTTTCTCGATAAATTCTACCCACGACATAAGTGGGTTATCAAGATGACCAATGGATTCATCAAACTGATTTCAAATCTCAATTAAGATTGATTCTATTCACATCATATGAAACCAATTCTCTACCCAATCACCAAATATTTTAACAAAATATCTTGTCACTGGAAGTGCAAAATACTTGATGAGATTTGGTGAATAAGCATTTTTGAACAAATCCCTCTCCCATAATAATCGCACCTTTTCAAGCTGTTACGTAATTCCCAGCATCCTTCGTTCGTCCGCATGTATAATCACACCAACATAACAAATGTAGTCCACTATGTCATATATTTTCCCCAATATATATATATATGTGTGTGTGTGTGTGTGTGTGTGTGTGTGTGTGTGTGTGTGTGTGTGTGTGTGCATGCAGTACTTTAGGAAGTGCCCGAAAATCACACTATAGATTGATTGAAGTCTTGTGAATGAAACTGGGTAGATGGAAATGTTCAAAAGCCGTCATTGGTTGTGTAAGTAAAAAGTCACAAGACATCGTGACTGAGGGTTTGAGTGTACTGGAATTGTTCAAACTGATGATCATGACAGATTATGCAATCTTTTCAGCGTAGTTGCAGTGTCAACCACAGGTGGGGTCTGTGGGTGTTGGACAAAAACAAATGTGCCTGAGCATGTGTCTGTGACAGGGTTTGGCTAGAGGCCCTAGCAGACTGTGTGCTCGGAAAAAGAGAGTGTAGATGGGCATTATACATACACATATATATATATATATATATATATATATATATATATGTGTGTGTGTGTGTGTGTGTGTGTGTGTGTGTGTGTGTGCGCGCGCATATACTTTAGTGTATGTAGATTTCATATGTAGTTGATCCATTGATGAAACATGTCAAAAAAGAAAAGTTTTCAGAATTGTCATATATATATGCCATTCCATCAGATTCTCATCCAAAATTTACTCATTATATATATATATATATATATATATATATATACCGGGTGTAACACCAAGATGCATGGGATAATTGTCCATCCCACCACATGTTTAATATCTAAAAAAAAAACAAAAAAAACATTAAACTAATGTTAAACTTTTTTCCAGATTTTCAGATAAGACTTTCAGCCATCTTAACACTATTTGTCGTAATAATCACTGAAAAACCATTTAAGTTATTGAGCTAGAAAGAGAACATGTTAAAATCATTTTGTGTCAGCCCCACTATGTTTTAACAACTGAGCTATGGTAAGAGGAAAAAGAGATAATGAAGGCCTTCAGTAATGGTACCAACATTCAGACTCTGGCTTCCATCTTCAAAGTTCATTCAAGAACCTTCAAGAGAACGGGGAATAAGTTTATAAAAGGGAACAGTAGAGAGGAAAACTGGATCAAGAGGTCCCAACAGCAAGAGGGGTCATTATTTCAGCTAAATTCATTCTTATTGTTATAGAGTCCAATAGTCTTATAAAACCTCCAGTAAGATATCTTTAATCATTTCTAAGATACAACGGTTCAAAGCTTAATCTAACAATTGGACAATTTTGCTGTTACACGATTTGGACAATTTTGCTGTTACACCCGGTATATTAATGCAAAAAACATCATTATTTGGGAGATAACAATGTGTTTGGCAAGCTATCTACATGTTAACATGAGAGTTGATATGTTGCAAAAGACACACAGACCTACTAATCTCCACAAAGTACCTATAAAGATTCCATCAGAACCAACCTTTAGTGATATAAGATCAAACTAAGAAGTGCAGATTTTACAACACATGACTAACCGTACTTCCAGTCTTTTTTTTTTGTAGGAGTCAAATGATAGAATCATTTTAGAATTCATAGATAAATGTCTTTTATGACTGTTTCATATATTTTATTTCGTGGGTTTTAGCGATATTTTATCATATTTTGCAGGTATTCGCTCTTTTAGATTTTTTATTCTGAAGAGAAAAAAATGGGGAATTGAACATTTTTCTCAAAAACATGATTGGATGGTTTATTAACCCTTTTCTGAAAATTGGTAGACATTTTGAACATTTGTCATAAAAACTGAAAAGCGTATTTCTGTTGATATGAAATAAATAGTACGCTATTTTCTTGTCATATAATGCCGTTTTTTACCAAAAAATAAACCCCTCCACAAATCACTCTACATCTTTTACTCTGATGATTGTATTTGGGTACTAGAGTGTAGTGGAAAGTGTGGTGATTACCATTCATTTAATGGTGTTGACGGCCCAAATCAATCCATACAATTTTTTTACTCTACAAATATGTCAAGCAAAAATGCAAAAACAACAAAAAACATTTGTGATAAAAGACAAGAGGCAAATATTTAAATAACAAATAATTTTCAATGTATTTTTGTAATGAAAATATTTTACAAAATTGTTGTGATCTTTTTAGGTGAAATCTTGTTAGTTTAATTTATGTTGAACTCAAGTTTGGTGAAAGATTAAATTTTATCAATGAGTTCTGATTTGAAAGGATGTTTGTTAGAATCTGTTATTGAAGATTCTGTAAATTGATTGCAAGAGTAAAATTTACATTTAAGAATTTACTGTTCATGTAAGTAGTAAATGTTGAATGAAATTTTGTGATCAAAGAAGTTATCTACCTTTGATTGTTTTGCGTAATACAATGTTCTCGAATGTTGTGAAATAAAGTTGATTTGTTAGCAGGAATTTGTTTAACTTCTGCATAAGGAATTTAGTGAGTGAATGGGAATAGAGTTCACTGGTAGGTTTTGGTGAGTGAGTGTAAATATCGTTAAGTTGTATAATATTCGTATGAACGAAAAACTTAAGATTGTGTGACATAAAGTTTAGTTGCAATTCGTTTGATGTCACAATTCTCACTGGCGAGTGTGAATGACTTTCTGTTTTTATTTGCTTCGGGTGGCTCACAGAGACTTGGTGCAAACTTGGATTTCAGTCACCAGCTGTAAAAATTACTTAAGCGTGGGTGGATAGTCACGCATACTTGTATATTTATTAACCAATGAGGACTCGGGATTTTTTTGAAAGTGTATGAAGTTGAAAGTGTTATGTGACCCACTTTTTGCGCAGATTTGACCAAACTATTTTGGGGTATTGGAATAATGTAGAATTTGGGTTCTACAAGACCAACACCTAAACAATCTCGAATATGTTAAGCAAAAATATAAACATATTGGTTTTCTAATGACCCTAGAATTATTATAAATGATTAAATTATGATTACAAATCAAAATAATGTTAAAATATAAAAACCTCTTGTTTGACACACCAGTCTTCTGATGAGCCAATAATTAAATATATATGATTATTGTTCCACTGGTCTTAGGGTGGAAGATAAAACTCTGTGAAACTGGCTGTCAAAAGCGAAAGCACAAAAAGATTACAAAAGACAAGAGACGTGCTAAAATCGATGTTTTTGCTCCCAGCATTCCCTAGTGGAACTGGAAGTGCTGACACTTCATCATAATTAATAATGTTATGGAACATCTTACCTAAAGTAATTTCTTATTTTCTTTATTAATTAATTTCGAACTTTTCAAATCACAAAATAAATGATTACATATCAAAATTTGTTTACAAAGTGTGATAACTCAATTACTTTGCGAAATCAAACAAATATCTTGGGGTATTTATTGTCTGTTCGCTTCTAGTTTTTTTTTTTTTTCAGTATTTTCTCTTGAATTATTATTATTATTATTATTATTATAATTGTTATTATTAATTGAAAATCTTTGTAATGATCACTACTTGGTTTGTTTCTCAAAAGTCTATTTTCAAAACTGAAAATTAAATACGTTTCCTGTTTCTTCAGACATCACCTTGTTTAGTTTACACATTTACACAACCTGTTGTCAGTGTCTGCTCACTTTATCGTTCCTTTCGTGCTCCAATATTTGTCTTTATCCGTTCTTATTCTAACTTCATCTCTTCCTTTTTGAGTTGGTAAATTTCTGGCGCAGTGGAATCTGTTAAACTTTTTTCCATTGATTTTTTGCAATTTTATCTCTTATTCGTCTAAAACCAAGCCATCTTAGTAGTAACTTTTTAGGGTGTAATGCTATCGTAGTTCTTATTTTTCTTCCCATAATTAATTCTGTGAGACTAACTCCTGTGGCTTGAATTGGCATACTTCGGTATGCCATTAATTCCTGGAATGTGTCTGATTGTCTCAAAATTCTCTTAGCGATTTTAACAGTACTTTCTGCTTCTCCATTTGCGTGAGGATGATGTGGATTTGATGTTATGTGTTTAAATCCATAACTTTTTACAAAATCTTTGAAAGTGTAATTTTTAATTTGTTTTCCGTTATCACTATCAATAGGAATTCCCCAAAATGAAATTTTTTTTAACTTTCCTATAACACAATCACTTGTCATTGTTTCGATCTTTGCTATTTCTATATATCTCGAGAAATGGTTTATTGCAACAATATACTGGTATCCTTGGTGAGTGAAAATATCTGTACCAATCATTTGCCATGGATGTTGAGGAAATGGTGTTATTTTTAATTTTTCCTTTTTATTTGTGTATATTACAGAACTTACATTTTTTAGATGCTCCTCCAACTCCTGGGATATTCTAAAGCACCACATTGATTTTTGAGCTCTCTCTTTCTCTCTCCCTCTCTCTTAGCTCTCTCTCTCTCTCTCGTGGCTCTCTGTCTTTACTCTCTCTCTCTCTCTCTCTCTCTCTTGGCCCTTTCTTTGTTTAGTTCCAAGTGACCATTATAAAGTGTCCTTAATATTGCTAGTCTAAGTTTTTCAGGTATATAATAATCCTGTCCTGAAACTATGGTAAATTGTCATGGACTGACAATTCATTCCGACTTGGAAAATATGGCCTTATGCCATCTATCATTCTACCTTTATGTGTCCATCCATTTAATGTGAGGTGTATTATTTCCTATAATACTGCCTCTTGCTTAGTTCCTATTTTTATTTCGTTTAATTTCTTCTCCAATGCTGGCTTGGTGCTTCCATATCATTTACTACAAGAATTATAGGTGTAGAGACCAATCAGTTGGTTCTGCAACCTTTTCAATGATTCCCTCGTTCAGTCTATTCAATTCTTCCTTCATCTTTGGTAAAATAAAGAATTGGACACTCCAAGCTGTTTTTACACTGTAGGGCAAGGGTCGGCAACCTACAGCCCGCGAACCGGATCCGGCTCGCGAAGGCATTTTGATCGGCCCGCGAGCCTGATTACCAATGACTATTTTTAACATGAGAGACGACCTTCAAATGAAATTTGTTATATGTCATTTTCCATAGAATGTCTACATATCTCAGTGCACTAAAAATATTAGACTATTTGCAAGTTATCTTTCATGAGACTTATTTTACCAAGTTGCGTTGCCTACGTTTAATGTCAAATAATGGATACATATTTGTTATGAACTTTGGCTACATTAAAAAATAACAGAAGCGAAAGGAACGATAAAGTGAAAGAGGCCAGGGAGGGACTGACATGCGAGGTAGCAGAAATCTAAAGACAGTTAAACATACGCGCATTATACATACATGCCTTATGAATATGCGAATGATACTGCATGTGTACGTACGTAAGTGTATATGTTTGCAACTATTTGTACTCGTATGTATGGGTATATGTGCTTCGTTTTTGTTTGATGTGTGTGTATGTGTGGTTCGTTTGTGGAACAATTTTCAAACCTACACGTCATAATTTCATCCATTTCACTTCGGTTGATTTTTTTTACTTTGAAGTATTTTGACGTTCCTTGAGGAAAAGTAATTTTTGTTAGGTGTTTTTTAATTTTAGATTTTCTTTTATTCTTCTGATTTCTCAATGTTTATTTTCATTATGGTTTTAAACATTTAGGTTGACAGGGGTCTGCATATGTAATTTTCCTTAATTTTTCATTAATGGCCTTCGTCATTATAATACGATCCGGCACGCGGGGTCGAATGAGTTGCCGACCCCTGCAGTAGGGTATAACGTCCACTTTCAGAACTATTTAACTGGGTCTCCGCTCATACAATCACCGGCGTCAAATGAAGTCTCCTTTTGTATTTTGTCTGAGCGTTTAACTAAATTCATTTTAGTTGCAACTTGTCTGGACAATAAGTTAAAATCAACAACTGTTTTATCTCAAATCCTGTTCGTTCTATTTTTACTCCCAGCATTCCCTAGTTGGACCGAAAATGCTTGTACATCATTATCATCATCATCATCATCATCATCATCGTTGTCATCATCAGTGATATTATGTAACAATTTTAAATGATCAAATTATGATTACAAATCAAAATATAATTAAAACATAAAATTTTTTGTTGGATACAACAGTCCTCTGATGTGCCCAGAATTATATATATATATATATATATATATATATATGAAGAAATATAGTTTTAAGGTATGCTATATTTATGGGATAAAGTGCTCAATATAAGCGTATGTAAATATAAAAGTGGACGTTGAAGTCAACACTCAGAGGCGTTGACTTCAATGTTCACTTTATATATATATATATATATATATATATATATATGTGTGTGTGTGTGTGTTATATATATATATATATATATATATATATATATATATATATATATATATATATATATAATTCTGGGCACATCAGAGGATTGTTGTATCCAACCAAGTTTTTACACACACACACACACACACACATATATATATGATGGACATTCCCATCGAATTTGACATATGAAGATCTGACAACCTCATTCAGTTTTTATGTTTGTCTCGTATGTGACACTTCATTCCTGGTAGTGACTTGTATACAAGTCCATATATTGTACAACAGTTAAATTCAGAGTTTTCCTTCTCCTAGACCAGATGTCACCCAAGGCTATAGAACCCAGTTTGTCCTGCTATTTATCCATATCTGGCAGGGACAATATGGATTCATAACTTTCCCAAGTGTATTAGCACATAAGTGAATGAAATGAACTGGACTGAAATTCGAACTCAGCACTCCGATTCTACAATCCAAGCCACAATTCATTACTCCGCCATCTCTCTATGGGTATGTTGTTCCCAGGTCCACACTGACCTGGGGTGGTAGCACCTGTTAGGGTCCCTGCTACACACATAAAAACACATGCACACATAAATATGGAGGCATGGTGGAGTAATGGATAGCAGCTCGGATTGAAGGATCAGAGAGCCGAGTTCGGATTCCAGTCGAATCCATTACATTCACTTACGTGCTAATACCCTTGGGAAAGGTATGAATCCTCTTCTTCTCCCTCCAGCTATGGGTAAATAGCAGGACAAACTGGGTTCTATAGCCTTGGATGGCAACTGGTCCAGGAGAAGGAAAACTCTGAATTTAAAACCTGTGGAGGGTCGTTTGGGAATCTTGTGACATGTAGTGCACCAGGTCTCTGTATTCGGCCCTTCTAAAAGTGTGGATGGTTCTGCACAAAAGCTTTACTATAATCAAATCTCATGTGCTGGTGTCAGGCTGTCAGTTCCTAGGAACTGATCTGCTTGACCCTCAAATGTCAAATTCGACAGGAGAGTCGAGTATATATATATATATATATATATATATATATATATATATATATATATAAACTGCTCTATAAGTATGGATGAATCTTCAGTTGAATATGAATTTTTTACTTAAATATTCCTTGACAAATTTATATGACATGTTATATGATAGAAAGTAACAGAGTATTGTAACTACATTTTCCATTACTCTCTATAGACATGTAACTTTGTATAGAAGTGCCACATTTATTTTCATAAAGTTGCAATAAATAACAAAATTCAAAAGATTAAATACACCATTTTTTTTTTTTCAAGGTTGGTTTTGCCTTCTTGAAATTCTTTGTGTGTGTTGTTGTCAGCTGTCTGATTGGATGCAGTGCTGGTCTGTTTGCAACTTTTGTCTGCAAATACAGTTATTCAAGACACAGTGAGTGCAAAGCATTTCTTCCTTCTTTGACAGCTGGGGGTGGGGGTAATTCAGTATCATTTCCAAATCTGATTCATGAAATGGTTGGCAAAAATTTCTGTGTTTTGTTTTATTTACAGTTATTTAAAACCTGAAAACTCTTAGGTACAAATCTTTTTCTTTTTGAACTTGTCTCTTCTCTGTGGAACATTAGGCAGCAATAACATCCTGATAGATAATGATTGACAATTAACTTGAAGAGGATAAGATTGTAATGTTCAGGGAAGCACTCACATGCAATTGACATTCCTTCGGGAAAAAGCTTTCCGATTGGAACTTTATTTGTACTTTTAAAATATGGAGGAAAGGTTGGTATTTCAACTCTGTGGAAGTAGCATTGTATGTCATAGTTGTAATTGCCTGAACTGATGGAATTAAAGAATAGAGCTTATCTGAAAATTTACCATAGAAATAGCAATAGAGTAGCGATAGGCTTGTAATTTTTGCTTATAGTGTTAGTTCAGCTTATACAAGGCCCAAGAGTTACTCAAGGTAAAGGGTTTCTGAGTGAGATTGTTGTAAGAGAGGAGGAAGAAATGTGCATTATGTGGATGTGCAGAATAGATATCGGTTGACCCTGGATTTTAGGAGACCAAGACTGTAGTTGTCAGGTTTGGTTTGGTTTGTCTTGTTTTATGGCATATCAACCTCAATGGGTTATTTAATGCCACTAAAATTTTTATTGCCAGTAATTTTCTTTTAAAAAATGTATAGCTGGTAATTTTTTTTAAATGTATTGCTAGCAATAACGTATTGCTGGTAATAATTTTTTCTTCAAAAATGTATTGCTGGTAAAAAAAATTTTACAAAATATTTCTGGTACTAAAACCTGTTTTTACATTTTCATAGTGTTTTAACCCCAATTTGGGGGTTAACTATTTGCCCATATTTGGAACACTAACAGGTGCTACCATCCCAGGTCAGGGTGGACCTGGGAATACTAGCAATTATGAGGTGGTTCCACACTCCTCAAAACTTCCTGATCAGAGGCCTTGTTGTTGGATGTAATTTATCACCTTACCTAGGACGTGGATGTAGTTTGTCATCTTACCTAGGTCAGGGAAGCATCCTCTTGGTAGTCTGTTTCACAAAACAACAGTTCTAGGAAAGGAGCTGTCTGAGTTTTCCTTATCAAATTAACTCAAAGTGAATCGAATGATTTGCCACTGTGAAGATGACATGGCAAGTCCTAGCAATGAATGTCTAGACTAGTGGAACTAAGGAATGGAACTCATCTGAACATCTAGCATAATAATAGCAATAGAATAGTGACAGGCTACCAATGTTTCATCTGTGGGTTACGGGTTGTAGGATGGAAAATAATCCATCACCCACAAAGCCATGTAAGTGCTTTTGAACTCTGTCAAAGCTGGACAGTGAAGTCTGGGCAATACCAATCCAGATATAGCAGCAATAATCCATTTTTAGTCTAATCTGACTTTTGTTAAGATAGTGCATAGCAAAAGGTGTTAGGTATTTCATGGAGCAATTCAAGGAATCAATCCTTCTTCCACAGCTTTTGTGATGACATCAACATATGCATCCCATCCTGAGTCTGTGGGGAAAAAAGGGCTCAGAGTGAAGAATAAGTCATCACCCACAAGACTGTAAGCAATTTTTAACTCTAGCAAGGCTAAGAGAAGGTTAAGCTGTTCCAGTCCAGATATGGTACTTCATTTTTGGTCTAATCTGACTCTTGTAAAAATAAAAACCTGGCAGAAGGAAACAAGTACTTCTGGGAGTGATACAATGAACTGATCAT